GCAACAAAGTTGAGTTTAACCCCATCTGTGCTGCAGCACAATAACTTGTGTTTAAAAGAGATTTAAAAATACTTTAACACAAGCAGAGGTGTATTTAGAAGATCAGTTTAAACAGAAAGCCAGATAGTTAAGTTAAATAAAATGAAGGTTAGGTTAAAGTAAAGTGCAAAACAGGACAAATAGGTGAATGTTAACATAAATAAATTAAATGAAGGAATAAAAGCAACAGAAGATTAAAACGTGAGTGTGCAAGCTTCTTCAGGTTGTTTTACAAGTAGATGGTCCTGATGCCAAAACCGCAGTCACCTTTAGATCCAAGGTACACTCGCGCTGTCTTCACTTTAAAGCTACAAATAAATGGTAAATGGTAAATGTCCTGCATTTGTATAGCGCTTTTCTAGTCCTTAAGGACCCCAAAGCGCTTTACACTACATTCAGTCATTCACCCATTCACGCACACATTCACACACACATTCACACACACATTCACACATTGGCGATGGCAAGCTACATTGTAGCCACAGCTGCCCTGGGGCGCACTGACAGAGGCGAGGCTGCCGGACACTGGCACCCAGTGTCCATGAGGCTGATGTGTTTTATAACCGCTCAGTAGAAACCCAGTTTAAATCTGAAACGTGAGAGTTAGTGTTTTAGTCCAGACCAGCTGTGGAGAATAATCATGCAGACACTCATATTTACCTCTTGGCATGACTTAAAAATCAAGTAAAAACACATTTCAGATAGGCTCACATTCCTTTTGTGATTTCAACCTTCACGTGTGGGTGTCTTCACATCGCCATGACTTTGTTTGGCAATGCTGGTTCTAGAATTGCTATATTTATTTCATGCCATATTTGACTGGCAGTGCCAATGGTTTCTGCTCTGCTAATTTCCAATGTACAATCAAGCCTTTACTTGCATAAATGCATGCGAGCCTATTGCCCAGACACTCACCTAGACCTAACAAACAAAAACAGGCTTTTGATGGTTTTATGTGGATGTGATCTTAGTTCTCAGCCATGAGCAGCAAGAAGAGAAGAGAAGAGGTAAAACTAGGATACGAATTCTGCAACGCAGCCTGAGGCCAGACCCAGATGGGTTTTGAAAGATTACAGTAAAATCTTAAGATTCACTCTGAAATGAACAAAAAGTTAGGAAGTGGGTGAGGCGATGATGCCACCTCAGCCAAGTTACTCCCTTCAGAGGGAGCCTGAGTAAAGAGACTGTCTTTTCCTTTATGGTAGTGTGTGAATGTGTGTGTGAATGGGTGAATGACTGAATGTTGTGTAAAGTAAAGCGCTATACAAATACAGGTCATTTACCTTTTTTTTTTTTTTAGAATGGAGGGAATTATGGAAGTCAAGGCTCCAGAAAATAAGAGGCTCAACTGAACGAATGGTTTATTTAATGCCACTAATTTTGTAGTACATGTTATAAATTGGACGTGTTTTTAAATTTTGAATTCATGTCTTTGAAAGCTGGTTGTCAGTTGGTGGGCATATGAACTGTACAGCTGTGTCACATTTTCTGTGGATAATTCAGCAGCAAAGTGATTCACGCTAACTGGTAAGTGCACTGAGTGACTTTGTTGTGGGCTGAAGTCAAATTAGCTTTGAGAATATCGCGTTACAACCAGCCAGACTAGAGGTGCACACCGGCCGCCACAGAGGTCTGAGTGGTTGTTTTGCAGCAGCCTGCTATTGACTGGGCACAGCTTAAGAGTAAACAGTGCACCAAAGCACGGTGTGCAATGTCACAGCAGTTTTCAAATTAGAGGCTGCAGATGGAACATTTAAACAGTTGAATGGGAGGGCTCGCATGCACAGTAAGAATAGCTATGGACGATCATCCATTAATCTTCACCCAGCAGAGGCTAGCCTCCTGATGTAGCTACATTAAAGTTGTAATTTTGAGCTCTATTTTTAGTACAGCTGTGCCCAGAGAGTCCCTGAAAGTCCTTGGCTTGTGTTATCTAATCTGCAGGGAACTTACCTCCCCCTCAGCCTTTACACCTCAGCCTGAGTAAGCTGCACATCTCACAGAAAATCTTATCAACACTGCATCTAAAATGCAGAAAAGTACAGATTTCCAAGCACAGTTTGCTTTGCTATATAGTGTATAGCACATTTAAGCCCAACAGTAGAAGCTCTTTTAGGCTCAAATTAAACCTGTATAGCCGAGTGAAAATCATGAAAATGCGTGCATGGTTTGTTGCAAATGCACAGAAGTTGCAGCACATAGATACAGTATCTGACTCAATCTAAATACCTGTGAACCCGAAGCATAACTGATCTATGAACTATGCCAAGGTGCTGCAGATGGCACACCAGCATCTTCCATAGCAGCTGTGTGAACGAGTGAATGAGAAACACACTGTAAATAACTTTGTAGAAGCACAAAGGTTAAATAAGCATAATGCATCTACCAACCATTGTTTCTGTGTTATAAATGAAATTGAGTTGGATGAAGAAAAGAAAAAAAAACACATAAATAAACTGTAATCTGGAATAAAAATCAGATGGAATATTCAGTGTTCCCAGAGCGCTGAATTTTCTATTATCAATAATCTTTATTATTCACCATTCATTACCAGCCATCACTAATGAGCAATAAAACAGCTTTTAGTTTTAGTACTAATTTCTATCATCCATGGAATCAGATAATTTTCTGTGAATTACTGACTGAGAGTGAAACTGTCAAGAAGCTTTAGCTTTTGTAGCCTAGACAAACACATCAAAACACATAAATATAGACTGCCTGAGCATCATGCTGATTAGACACATTCAGTTTTTCCTAAATTTAAGAGTTAATAGAGACAAAGTGTGTGAGAAATTGATATGTTTAATCTGATTCATTTTAGATTATCTCAGAATATTTTAAGTTATACCTTTCTTTTCCAAGAGTCTGGATTAACCAACCGGCACCTATTGAAACTCAATAAAAAGCTAGATTTTAGGGAAAAATAAACTGTTTTTTTTTTTTTTTAAATTTATATATTATATCAAATATATGATAGTCATGGTAACTGGTGGGTGCAGACTTACAGTATCTCTCTGATAGAATAGCATTAGCTTTTACGCAGTTTTCTGTGTGTTCATAACTTGAGAAAAACTCCAAACTGAATTATAGATGAAAAACAACTTGCAAAAAATAAGCAAATTTCTGACTTAATTTTAATCCAGTTCCATTCTTTCAGAAACATTTTTCCACTCAAAAGGTCCTTAAAGGATACAAAAGAAAATTCTACTGGAACCAGTCCCTGAGGATTTTATCAGAAGGGACCTGGTGGGTTGTATGCTATAGGATTCTTAACCTATATAATTTTAATATATTTAATCTTATAATTTCTACAGAATCATGGAGGAATTTAGTGTGCATCTCATTCTGCCAGATTATCCCTTGGGATTAAGTGGACTAGGTGTTGAAAAGGGGACAAAGATAATTAAAGAATTAGTGTAATTATTTTAAAAAAGAAACAAGCCCACATTCTCATATGTTTTTACATTTTGGAAAGATATAACTACAGAATTTTAAATGTGCACCTTTTAGACTTTTAACAGATTTAATGCTACCCCCTTTTATTTCAATTATGACTTTTCATTATAGAGGTTAAAGGTTGTGAAATTCTATGGGTTAAAATCCGCTTGTTAAAATGGTAAATGGCCTAAGATTCTATTAGAAAATATAAGATTGGTCCAAAACCAAACAGACTCTTGTATTAAAATGTGAGCAAATACTTGTTTCTTTTGCCCACCATTGCTGTTTTTTTCCATTTGACATTTTTGTTCTGTTGACAGCCCAAAATAAAAGTCACGTTTCCTTCTCTCTATGTTTTTCTTCTCTTTATTGTTTAAATTCCAGGGAAATATACAGAATGCAAATGTTATATAGGGGAAAAAAGACTGGTCCCAACAAACAGATTTTTATGCCAAAATCTTTGTTTTGTTTTGCTTTGCTTTTTAAAAACTTTTTTAAT